GTAGACTATTCCAAAATAGGTAGTACTTTAGTAGACTATTCCAAAATATGCTAGTAGACTATTCCAAAATAGGCATTACTTTAGTAGACTATTCCAAAATATGCTAGTAGACTATTCCAAAATAGGCAGTACTTTAGTAGACTATTCCAAAATAGGCAGTACTTTAGTAGACTATTCCACTTGTTGTTATGGTCTTTAGCAAGGCTCAGGCATCCAATTTCTCTTGGTTTTAACCTGATTGCAGTCACCCCTGTTTTCTTCACCTTTTTAATTATCATTACTACTTTGTAGCCCTTACGAGTTCTCCAGCGATTTGTGTCTAAGTACTAAGCAGATTTTACAAATGTAATTCCGGCTTACCGTTTCTACTACTAATACTGCTGATGTTTGGGCTGTTTTTTTTTTCCTTCTAGAAAATAAGGTGCAGGTATTGCCCATGAAGTGTGTTTAGAAAAAAAACAAGTTGTAGGTTCTTGCCACAATGACTATTACAGTAGCACTGGGAAAACAAGTCATGACTTAAAAAAGATGCCGGTACTGTGTACAGTTGCTTACCACAGAAAAAAAAAACACATGCTATCCTCCAAATAACAGGCACAAAAGATGGCGGCCAAAAACAGGGCCTCAGCCACGTGTCTTGCGCACTTCCAGCGACCTAATTTGCGATTTTCCGGCAACTGCCGCCACAGCCGAGAGTATCCCCCACGTCGCTCACGCGGCGTGGACTGGGGCTAAACTAGATGGCTAGGACTCACGAGTAAAGCTGCAGGAGATGCGGAAGCTGCTGCTCGTAGGTCCTAGCCATCTAGTTAAGCCCCAGTCCACGCCGCGTGAGCGACGTGGGGGATACTCTCGACTGTGGCGGTAGTCGCTGGAAGTGCGCAGCTGACACGTGGCTGAGGCTCTGTTAGGGTGTTTTTGCGGCCGCCATCTTGAGTGCCCTTTTTTCGGAGAATAGCCAAAAAACAAGTTGTAGGTTTTTGCCACAGTGACTATTACAGTAGCACAGGGAAAACAAGTCATGCCTTAAAAAAGATGCCGGTACTGTGTACAGTTGCTTACCACCAAAAAAAAAAGCCTAGGGTCAATAACTGCTGAGGTAGATCTATTGCTAGTTCTACAAATGCTGCAACTACTATTTTAGCAGTCTCTTCTAATGTTACTACGATTTATGTATACTGTGTGACAGTTTTGTGTTTGTTCTGCGATTCATTACTTGGAGACGTAAAACTATGACAGTATCTATAATCAGAAAATTGTCTTAGCATGTTATGAATTATATTTATGTATACCACCTTCTTCTTCTGCTTTGTATTCACTGGCTGTAAACTCGGACGGCAAGTTGTGATTTGTCCACCTGGACTTTGGTCTTGTCCGAGAACCTGAAATGTTGTGTGCGCATCCATTTTACACTCATTTGTGTACAGAATATTGGTTCCTTGTCTGTCTGGCAGATGCACTCCACAAGGAAGCCTCTAATTAGTCGTCGACACATACAACATACTTTTGTGGGGGGGGGGGGGGGGGGAGTGGGTCTGTTCTTGTTTTCCCCACAATGAGGCCCCAGAACCCACACGATTAATTATAAATATCTGACTTGACATAACCTTAGTTTACCCCTGCATGTTTCTTATATAGAGTTCCTAATGCTAAGATGGTACTTATGAATGGATATATCACACAGTAATGTTTATTACCTGTTTAATTGTTATTGTCTGTTTATGGTAGAATAACATTTCTGAATGAGCGTCCTACTTTTTAGGACGTTCATTAGTGATATGGATTTTTTCTCCTATTCAATCATTGTTTTATTTTTTCAGTATATTACTGTTGTAATATTATATGTGAATGAATATTGTACTTGCTAATGCATGAATTAGTGGCATTGATTTGTTTCTTACATTTTAATCATTCTGTTTGTTGGTTACATTTTATTTATCACAGAATAGGGTTTCTGAATAGAAATATATATATTTTATAAATATTTATGTCACAAGCAACGCTGTCTATGTGATTGGGAATACCCAATCATCCACTACTCATTGTTTGGATCTCAACACATGTACCAGTCAACCAACATGTTAAGCATGTTTTCTTTTTATGGTTTACCAGCTGTAAACTCCAGCAGAAAGTTCTGGTTGTTCATCCACCTCTGGGCTTTAGTCTGGTTCCAGAACCTGAGTGTTCCGTGCACATCCATTTTACAGATCTGACTTATTTGAATGCAGACTGTTGGTTCCTGACCTTTCAGGCAGATGCACTCTGACCTTAAAGAAAATCCCCGAAATAGTCGACTTTAATAACAGGCTTGTCGGGGGACAGCGAGTCTACATGTCTAATGAAATGGACAATTTCTTCACTCAGAAAGCATCACTTTGATTGAATAGGCTAGAGTTCTCCATTGTAGTATACAGTCATTGAGAAGTTATAACATCCTTTTTTTCATTCATACTCTGTCCAAGTTGTCTTGCTTTAAAAAAAAAAATGTAGGTTAAAGGACTTGAGACTTCTCAGTGATAATTTATCTGTTGTTGTTATCAGTCTGGCTTTTAAGTGAGACCAGGCTTGAAAAACATGCTTTGAAGGTCAGGCCAGTGTCATGAAACAAAAAGTGAAACATACAGATGTACATGTAGGTGCTTTTGAGTTTCTTATCATCTTTGTCACATATATGTCTGCCGAAAGCCAGGGGGTGTGATTTATGCATTTTTATTTTTTTTTTTTGGGTGTGTAAATCTGGATAGGGTTGTTAGAAGTCTGTCATAACGTCTTGTGTGTTTGTGTCTTTCTGTCTGCTGTTTTCTATAATAGTAGAATTTGAATATTTACCTCCCCCTGTGTGGACTTCGGTTCCCCCCCCCCCCCCCACTCTTACAAGCATGTCATAAAAGTAGTCTAATTAGAGGTGCTTCGTGAAAGTCTGAGCGCATTGCCTGAGAGGCAGGGAGCTGACAGTCTACATACAGTTCTGTAAAAATGGTTGTACACACAAAATTCAGGTTCTGAAACAGACTAAGGTCCAGACGTAGATGAACAGCCAGAACTTTGGCTTTGTTCAAGTACCTGAGTGTGGATGTGCGCCCATTTTATAGTTGTGGCCTAATTGTATGCAGAATGCTGGTCCTTTGCTTCTCGGGCTGATGCACTCTGATTTCAAAGGAATTCCCTAATTAGTTGACTCCTAATACTGGCTTGTTAAAGAGATAGTGCGTGCGTCTGTTCGTGTTTTCCCACACAATTTTTGCCCAGCAACTCACATGGGGATACTGATTGGTTTATCATACAGTGCGGGTGATCTGTCAGTTAATTAGCTAACTTTCAAGATGTGCACACACATACACATGTATACATATGATTTTGTTTTTCAAATAATTTGTCTTTTTCCTCTCTCTTTCTACCGTGTTCCTCTCTCTTTCTGCCGTGTTCCTCTCTCTTTCTGCCGTGTTTCTCTCTCTTTCTGCTGTGTTCCTCTCTTTCTGATGAAGTTTTAGATCAAACCGTTACGCAATTGGAACATAAACCTTCATGATGCCCAACCCCTTGTATATCAGAGCAATATCTTTATCGTCTAGAGGTTGAAGCATGGGCCAGCAACTCCACCTGCGTTCATAAAACTTCATTTTGTCGTGAAATTGATATCTGATCAGGTGCTCTCTCCACAGTGACGGTTGGCTATAATGGATATCTTGCTTGGTTGTACACTGTTTTGTACTGCTGTTCTTCCATCTCTTGATGATGTCCACCAACTTGTATCATTGTCCACCTCTTGCCCACGACCTTTCCCTCTAGTATGGTTTTTAAATGTATCGCTTAATGTGGCCAGAATATTCAAATTAATTTGTTTCCTGCAGTAATTATCTTTTTTTTTTCGCCATCTCTGCAGGGGCTCTGTATTTGATTAACTTACATATGCTAGTCCAAAAAAAAATGTCACAAATGTGTGTGACTAAGGCACAAACAACACAGCCTATCTGTAAATAGACCCAATACAACCTCTTTTGAAGAATGATCGGTGTGATTAGCATGCTGTGTCTAAGGATCCATTTAACTGCACTGTCCTTCTTATTTGTTTTCTTCAAGACAATTCTTTTTTTTTTAAATAATAAAATTTATTGTTTTTAAAACACACTTAGGTAGTGTCCAGTTTATAAATTAATGTGTTATGTAAAGTTTTAAAAAGGTCAAGAACTGTTTTTTGCCCTCTGTCTGTTCTGGGGTCCCATTAATAAACCCACTGTCTCCACTCCCAGCTTGTCAAACAAGGCGACTAGTTTAAGGCTTTTTCCCTTCAAAGTTGGAGTGAAACTGCCTGAGAATCAAGGATCCAACAGTCTGACTACAAGTCATGTTGGTAAAACAGACGTTGACGCAATACTCAAGTTCTAGGACAAGGGGAGAGTAGATGATGTTGCCACCCACCTTTACTTTTCATGACATTTCCTGACACCTATTATAGGCAGAGTCGATCAGGGAGCAAAGGTCAGTTATTAAATGTTTTGTGCAAGAACACAAACCCAAGACAGGCAGGTCTCTAGCCACTACCTCACAATGCTAGGCTCTCTTCCTTGGTATATAGTGTAACATAACAAACAAGTGGGCCAACTGGCAAGCAACAGACGAATGTATGTAAGTAGAAGCAGGGACACAGCAGATATCATTGACACTGTACGTACTGTGTTAGTGCAAAACAAGGAATCTCTGATGTTAGTGCGATTACCTGACACGGGAGTCAAGCATGCTAAAGCACTTTTTATCCAAGAAAGGAGACACGATAACCAGCTTTTCCTCAGTAGACATTTCTTGGAATGGCTTTTGTGTTGGAGGGCCGAGCAGGCATGAAAATGCCCAATGTGCAGTGACATTTGATGTGATAACATAACTGTAACATTCTTAATGTTGATATAGTGCCATTTGGTTGTTTGCTTCAATGATAGTCTTTTTTTTCTTTTTCCTTTCCTTTAGGCCACAATGATGTTACATCACACTGGAGTATTGGTGGAATGAGAACATCGCTGGGAACGATTCCTCTGCCGGACACTATCAGCAGGCACAACACGTCGGTGATTAGCTTGGGTCAGGTCAGACCCGGCCCACGGGTCACTAATGAATATGTGGATAGTCCCCGTGTTCATGCGCTGCAGCCTCTCAAGACCCATATAGTCTCTATAGGGGGAGGTGGCGGCAGCTCACCAGGTTTTGCTCACCGAGTTATTCTTCCCTCCCCACCGGGGGAAAGAAATGGTAGGAGCCAACGTCCTGTTTTGTCATCTTTACCAACGACTGCAGTTACACAGCAACCTTTGCCAAAGTGTCCTTCACTTAAACAGGACCCTGTGATTTCTTTGGATGGCATCAGGGAAGGAGAAGCGGCCCATATGGGTAATCCTTCAGGTGGTGCAGGCCATGGGGATAGCATCATATGTGATAAATGTGGAAAGTGCCGATGTTCGTCTTGCACTGAGCCCCGTACGCTGCCATCTCGCTGGTGCTGCCACAACACTTGTGAAGTGAGCCTCAACAAGGCATTGGATGTATGTACCTGTTTCTGCTGCATCAAGTGCATCTTCTACCACTGTGGTGCCGAAGAAGACAACGAGTGTTATGAGAAACCCTGTGGATGCACCTCCACCCCTCACTGCTGCCAAAGATGGACAGTGATGGGGATGATGTCCTTATGCCTGCCGTGTCTCTGGACGTACTGGCCAGCTAAAGCAGGTCTGGCCACCTGCACCATGTGTTACAACCACTTCCGTCGCAACGGTTGTCAGTGCCACCTACAACCTGAAGCAAGGACCTCGGTGGCGTCGGCAGGGGAATCAGAACTGAAAGTGTGTACAAGCGACACATGCAGGGCGAACAAAGGGGGCAACAACTCCAGACACTCACAGACTCGACGACTGCTAATAGAATCAGATTCCTCTAGTGCATAAGTTACCAAGTGATAGTGTGCTGCTTCAAGTTTCAGTTAGAATCTCGGGGCTTGTATAGTCTAGCTGCTTCAGTTGTTGTTTTACTTGTTGTTATCTGTACATTGATTAGTATTATTATTATTAATTATTATTGTTGTTATTATTAGATGTCTCTGTGCTACCCACCAACCTTGTGGTTGCCAGGCTAAATGCTAGGGCTAAGTCAAGAACCGTTGAACCAGGATAGCGTGTGCATTTGGATGCTAGTGTGATTGATTATGCCATAATAAACTAGTACCATAATTTATCTCTCCATCCCCGTGTAGAAGAGGAACGGCTATGAATGGATAAATGTCGCCACTGTTATTATAATGTATCTCTGTGGAGGTTAGCAGAAATGGTTGGTTGTGAATCTTCCGGACAGTGGAGTTACATCTGATGTTTTGGCGTTCAGATAAGTAAGGCTCCATAAGGCTCCTTTTTCAGATTAAGGCTGATGTAGACTTTCTCACCAGGTCAGTCAATCAATCAGCTGCCATCTTCACAGTGAAGGTTGGTTGCGATGGATTTCCAACATGCTCGTCTCTTGTCCTGATTGTACACACACTATCAGACTGCTGATTATCAATCTCTTGATGTTTTGCCCCCACTTCTATCATTGTTTACCTCTTGCTGTCTTGCCATCAGCCTTCTGTCATGTACTTTCAGTTGACTCTTGACACAGGTGATTTGTCATACCATGATGTCAGACTGTCCAGCGTCTTCTTTTTTGCTTTCCAAAAGCCTCTTTTCCTTCCAACTTTCCTACCACTCGCTTCCAACTTTCCTACCACTCGCTTCCAACTTTCCCACCACTCGCTTCCAACTTTCCTACCACTCGCTTCCAACTTTCCCACCATCACAATGTATCCCCTCTCATGACATGACCAGATAAAGTAGATTGTTTCCTTCTGATGTGTACAGATGTGACTTTTCTTTGCAAAGTACTCACAGTAGGTTGCAGTTTCTGTCCATGAGAGCAGTGCCTATACCCGGCAGGTTGTCCTAGCCGTTGTGCCTATAGGGGCATCCTCTGCCTAGCACAGTTTTAGTGGGGAACCAGTTCTGAGAACTTTTCAGCTGCACACCACTTTATATCATCTACCTGCCATGACTTCCTGTAACTCTGATTGGTTGGCTAAATGTACATCTTGCACATATAAAATCCTAGAGTTTAACCCTCCTGCACCGTATTTATAGGAAAACATGGGGTGAGTAAAGGATAAAAGGACTTGGCCTTAGTTGGTTAAAGGCCTGTGCTCTATTGAGGGATAAAAGGGCATAAGAAAAAGACAGTTAGATACTTCAGGGTTATCTATTGCCAATAGAAGTTCAAATAGTTTCCTGTGAGACACGTTACTGATTGTCATCAGTATTATCCAAACAATATGTGTGGATGTAGCTGTGCTAAAAAAAAAAAAACAGCCATAAGGAACATATACACCCCAGAGCAGAAGAGGCAAGACAGTGACTGGTGACTTTATTATTATTATTATTATTATTATTATTCACATGTATTTCACATTGTTGATGTGAAAAGTTCAGTGTAACTCATTGGATAACATTCACATCCTCAGCTTACCAAAATGTGATAAGTACTTTTTTTTAAAAATCAAACTACCATGATGCTTTCAGTTGGATTCTCTCACATTAACCGCTTGTGTGTGCTGAACACATGGTCTGTCTGTCTGTGTGTCTTTGTTTGTTTGTATCCTTGTTGGCTTGCAGTCATAACCTCCATCTCTACAATGTTCATACTGTCTGTATGCAGTTGGATTCTCTCACATTAACCGCTTGTGTGTGCTGAACACATGGTCTGTGTGTCTGTGTGTCTTTGTTTGTATCCTTGTTGGCTTGCAGTCATAACCTCCATCTCTACAATGTTCATACTGTCTGTATGCAGTTGGATTCTCTCACATTAACCGCTTGTGTGTGCTGAACACATGGTCTGTGTGTCTGTGTGTCTTTGTTTGTATCCTTGTTGGCTTGCAGTCATAACCTCCATCTCTACAATGTTCATACTGTCTGTATGCAGTTGGATTCTCTCACATTAACCGCTTGTGTGTGCTGAACACATGGTCTGTGTGTCTGTGTGTCTTTGTTTGTATCCTTGTTGGCTTGCAGTCATAACCTCCATCTCTACAATGTTCATACTGTCTGTATGCAGTTGGATTCTCTCACATTAACCGCTTGTGTGTGCTGAACACATGGTCTGTGTGTCTGTGTGTCTTTGTTTGTTTGTTTGTATCCTTGTTGGCTTGCAGTCATAACCTCCATCTCTACAATGTTCATACTGTCTGTATGCAGTTGGATTCTCTCACATTAACCGCTTGTGTGTGCTGAACACATGGTCTGTGTGTCTTTGTTTGTTTGTATCCTTGTTGGCTTGCAGTCATAACCTCCATCTCTACAATGTTCATACTGTCTGTATGCAGTTGGATTCTCTCACATTAACCGCTTGTGTGTGCTGAACACATGGTCTGTGTGTCTGTGTGTCTTTGTTTGTTTGTTTGTATCCTTGTTGGCTTGCAGTCATAACCTCCATCTCTACAATGTTCATACTGTCTGTATGCAGTTGGATTCTCTCACATTAACCGCTTGTGTGTGCTGAACACATGGTCTGTGTGTCTGTGTGTCTTTGTTTGTTTGTTTGTTGGCTTGCAGTCATAACCTCCATCTCTACAATGTTCATACTGTCTGTATGCAGTTGGATTCTCTCACATTAACCGCTTGTGTGTGCTGAACACATGGTCTGTGTGTCTGTGTTTGTTTGTTTGTATCCTTGTTGGCTTGCAGTCATAAGCTCCATCTCTACAATGTTCATACTGTCTGTATGCAGTTGGATTCTCTCACATTAACCGCTTGTGTGTGCTGAACACATAGTCTGTGTGTCTGTGTGTCTTTGTTTGTTTGTATCCTTGTTGGCTTGCAGTCATAACCTCCATCTCTACAATGTTCATACTGTCTGTATGCAGTTGTAAACTTATAGTTGTATAAATGATTCATTGTTGGCTTGCAGTCATAACCTCCATCTCTACAATGTTCATACTGTCTGTGTGCAGTTGTAAACTTATAGTTGTATAAATGATTCATTGTTGGCTTGCAGATCTCCCTCTCTGCAATGTTCATACTGTCTGTGTGCAGTTGTAAACTCATAGTTATCAGTGTTTCATCGTTGTCTTCCAAAAGTGATTTCAGGATGTTGTTGTAGAAATCTTGCACTGTTCTTAGTCGGTTTACATAAAAACTATTTTCTAGAAAGTTTTTGTAAAAAAAAAACCTTGAATTGTTGCTAGAAGGTTAATATCAAACTTCTGTATAGTTTATGGATGATCTATGTACACAACTTAAGGTCTAATATTGTATATATAGGCATCCAGTTGGTCATATGTTTAAAACTGCATACAGGCATTATCTACATCTTCATTATTTTAAAACTCCATACAGACATTATCCACATTTTCCTTATATTATAATCGCATACAGACTTAATGGACAAATTTATCATAAGTTTAAAACCCCAAAAAATTTCATGGACATTATTTTCATAAGTTTGAAATTGCACACAAACTTTTTGGATTAAAAAAAAAATAAGTTTAAAACTGCATACCAACTTTCTGCACCTCAGTATTTCATGTGCCGAATCATGTGGTTCACGCTCACATTTCAAAAGATTCACAATTACTGCGAAATAGGGCCCTTATGATGTTTGTTGGTATGCGTACCATATTTGTTATATTTAGTCCTGCTGATTATTATTATTATTATCTTTATTATTGTATGGACACTCACTAAATTGGAGATGACATTGTGTTATTATCATATACCTAATGTAGCTCAGTGGATGTGAAACTAGCTGGTAAATGTTAAATACTGGATGAGATACTGTATGTTACCTCAGATGTATAGGCGTAGCTGGTTGGGTGGTGCGCAGGGCTGTCACTTGCCAGACCTCGGGAGATGCTCAGTAAGGGAGGGAGACTTATTTATATGGAGACCATATAAAACTCTTAGCCTGAATATTTTATGACGGATAAAAGGACCTGGCTAGTCTCAGTATAAAGAAATCGGAGTTGGTGTAATTATCTCTGATGGAGATGGGTTTTTTTTTTTTTTTTTGGAAAGCCAATTCTTGAGAATATTGACGTCAGTGCTTCCTGTAACTCTACAGCAGTAAAAAAAATGTTACTGGCTGCACTTCCATGGCACTAGCCATGGGGCCTTAATTCTCAGACCTGCCCCACCCCCCCTTTCTGCAAACAGTATAAACAGTTTTGTGGGGGTTTTTTAAAAGCAATCTGGAATTGTTGTCATACATACACAAATTTCAATAAACATCATTTGAAATCATCCTACACAACAAATTTCAGTAGACATAATCTGAAATCGTCATAAACACAACAAATTTTAGTTAACATTCAGTTCTATGGAATCATAATGTACACAATTAATTTTATTAAATATGCCATCTGAATCATCGTATATTTTTTTAACAAATTTCAGTTTTCTTGAATCATACATACATACATACATACATACATACATACATACATACATACAAACATACATACATACATACATACATACATACATACATACATACAATAGACACTGTCTGGAATGTTCATATACATACAGTTTCAGTTGACATTACGTTGCCTGGACTCATCATACATACAGTAAATTTCACTAGACACTAAGTTGTCTGGTAACAGCATATATACAACAAAGCTCATTAGACATTAAAGTTTCTGCAATCATCAGATATTCAATAAATTTAAGTAGATACTTTATGCCATCTGGAATTGCTATAAATACAACAAATTTCAGTAGATACTTTAGATTGTCTTGAATCAGCATATGTACAACAGATTTTTTTTTTTACATACTAAGTTGTCTGGAACCATCATGTATACAACAAATTTCAGTACACACTAAGTTGTCTGAAACCATCATATATACAACAAATTTCAGTACACGCT